GAAGATGTCATCATGGACTGGTTGGACATAGAGGAATCATGGGAGGGACCAGCTGGGGAACCACCAAGGGAAGAAGGCTCAGAGTTGTGGTAGGAGAATGATGAGTGGTCAGAGAAAGAAGAGGAGGTGTCGGAAGATGAAGAGGTTAAGAGAGTCTGTGTACTGGTCCAGTAAACGCTTCCGCTGCGCAACCAGCAACAGTTCTCTTTGCAGAGCATTAATTAAGTCCAGTGCAGAGATTCTTGTTGCAGTACAAGCTTCAGACTCTCAGCAGCAAAGAAATAACGACACAGGGAAGCCTGTCTTTCCAAAGACAGGTTTATTGCAGACAGATAACAGAAACACCTCCGGAGCTTTCAGACATTTTTGCTTCACGCCCCGCAGGCAGAGAAAACAAACACTCTTTATATACTGAGCAACTTAACGAGCTTGACTACTTAAAGTCACATGACATTGCTAACTTGCCAGCGTCTTAGGTTTCACACCCTAACACCCCTCTCGCTGGCAATACAAAAACAAAATTACTTCAGACCCATTTCTTCACAAAAGTTTTCATGCCGCTGAAACCCAAGCGGTTTGTAAAACCATCAGCTTGATTTTCATGACTGGGACAGTAATTTAATTTAACAATTCCTGCTTTCACCGTTTGACAAACATTTTGAAAGCGAATATCCAAATGTTTTTTACGACCTTTAAACTGCCCATTTTGTGCTAACTTAAGACACGGTTGATTATCACCCCATACAGTGATTGGAGTGATGGCCTTTTCATACATCTCTTGTGCCAAGCATTTGTAAAATTCTAGATCTCTACATAACTCAGATAAGGCACAGAACTCAGCTTCTGTTGACGACAAAGCAATCAGGTTCTGTTTCTTGGATCTCCACCCAATCAGAGAGTTACCAAATTTTATTACACAGCCAGACACTGATTTTCTATCCTTTAAATTTGCCCAATCGCTATCTGCAAAACAAGTAATCTGTGCTTGTCCTTCAGAAGATAATTCAAGGCAAAAATCTTTGGTGTATTGTAAATATCTTAACACTCTTTGAATTCCTTTCCATGCATTTACACTAGGTTTTGAAGCTTCTCTGCTGAGTAAGTTAACAGCGTAAGCAATATCTGGTCTACTCCATTGCGAAAGATGAAGTAAGCTTCCCAGTGCTGACTGAAAGATTTCAGCACGCTTGAATTCAGCACTATCCTTGAACTCATTGTCTTTTACAAAACCCATTTCCATTGGTGTTCTAACACCTGCACACTCCATCATGCCAAACTTTTTCAACATTTGCAATATCTTGCCTTTTTGATTCAGTAGAAAACTGCCATTTTTTGTCCTATCTATCTGAACACCAAGATAGACCTTCACATCACCAAGATTCTTAACTTTGAAGTGTTTATTTAACTCTTTGGCTAGTTTTTTTACTTGTTCTTGTGTCTTTGAAGTATAAATCAGGTCATCTACATAAACAAGCAAAGATTCTTGAGCATCTCCTGAACCTCTGAAATATAAGCAATTGTCAGCCTTGCTCCTGCTAAAACCAATGCCTACCAAAACATCATTCAAACACTCATTCCAATTATGAGCAGATTGCTTGAGTCCATAAATAGATTTATGTAGTTTCCATACCTGATTTGATTTACCAACTTTCAATCCTGGCGGTAGCTCCATATAGAGCTCTTCAGCCAAGTCTGAATGAAGATAAGCTGTAGAGACATCAAATTGATTCACTTTGAACCCTTTCTGAGCAGCAACTGCTAATAGTGCCCGTAGGGTTTCACTCCTTGAAGTGGGTGCATAGACTTTGGAATAATGTAACCCCTTTCTTTGCGTAAAACCTCGAGCTACAAGCCTTGCTTTGTACTCTGGTTTCCCCATCGCTGTTGTCTTTATCCTGTACACCCACCTACAACTTACTGCCTTGGTACCTTCTGGCAGTTTGGTGATGGAAAACACACCCAGTTCTTTCATAGAATTCAACTCTTTTTGCATGGCCTCACGCCACCTACTGGCCTCCTCCTGGGGTAATTGCTCAACCTCCTCAAAACTTTCAGGTTCGCAATTTGCCAAACCAGCCCAAACACTAATAGCTTGGTACCTTTCAGGAGGTTTACCTTTGTTGGTACGCTTGGAACGCCTTAACAGTTCCTGTGATGTTCCTTCAGTTTCCTCCTCTGACCCAGAATCACTAGTCGTCACCTGTTTGTCACTAGTAGTTGAAGAACTTTCTGATTCTGACTTTACACGTCTCTCTTGCTGTACAGGTGAACTTTTAGAGCTAGAAGATTCTGACTTTACAGGTCTCTCTTGCTGTACAGGTGAACTAGAAGAGCTAGAAGATTCTGACTTTACAGACTTGGGTGAACTAGACGATTTCTCACCCTTGTCCTCAGACTCAAATTCCTCCGCCTGTTCTGGAACTAATACCTGCCCTGGGGCCTGAGTTTCATTGTTACTGTTCACCACATCAAATAGTATGTCAGGATTTCCATGAATTTTATTCCAACCATCCTGTTCACAAAATTCCGCACTTCTGCTGATGGTGATTTTTGTTTGATTGCCTTCTACATTCACAAATCTCCAACCTTTTGTGTTTGCTTGATAACCACAGAACAACATTTCTTTAGATCTAGGATCGCCTTTCCTACGTTGTGCCCTAGGCACCAGCACATAAGCACGACATCCAAAAACTCTTAGATGATCAATTTTTGGTTTTTTTCCAAATAGCATGAAGTAAGGAGTGTTGCCTACTGTGCTATTGTACACTCTGTTAAAAGTATAATTCGCATACAGTGCAGCCTCAGCCCAAAACCGCTGTGGAAGTCCAGAATCAAACAGCAAAGCAGCAATGGCTTCCTGTAATGTCTGAAATTTTCTTTCGGCAACTGCATTCTCCTGTGGTGAATAGGGATTGGTAAGTCTATGAACTATACCTTTCCTTTTTAACCACGTCTCCAGCGTGTGGTTCACATATTCCCCACCACGATCTGATTGTATTTTACGCACCCTGGTGTCAAATTTACATTCGACTTCTTCAATCCAATCCATCAGGATGGAACCTGCTTGTGATTTTTCTTTCAGAAAGAAAACCCAACTAGC